CTTGAAACATTTATGTTCACTACTTGTATTTGTCTTCTCAACTCAAAACTGAGAATACTTCCAAGAATAACTACCAAAAAATCAAATCAATTGTTAGTTTGAGGCTTTGGCTTTGCCACAGTAGAAGAGGAAATATTTGCCCTGAGGTATTTACTCTGTGGTAGACTGGTTGTACTGGTCAGATTTGTTGTGAGTGTATATGGACGTAGCCGCTGCAAAATGAAAGTCTCTCCTTTGGGAAATTACCATTAACTTCAGTAATTACCACTTAATTGCATTGTACTTTTCCCCCAGTTATGTGCCAGAAAACAAACTCAGCTCCTGTGAAACTTAACGAGTGATGAGAATGAGTGAGATAAAGGCAAGATATTCATAGCCCAGTCATCCTTGCCCCATAACTTGCAAGTTACTTTGAATGACAGAAATTAAAATTCTTCCTGTCCACTGCATGTCACCATTACACCATAGAGATGTGCCCACTGCAGCCCAGTGCATTGGTGGATGCAACCATTCGGACGGTGGGGATGTTTGGACAAAGGAGCCTGGGATACCTGGCAATTTGACATTCTTCTGCGATCAGAGACTAGTTATACTTCTGAGGCAGAAGGATGTTCTCTGAATTCAGCCATGGCCATGTGAAAAGCTGCCATGTTGTCTGGCAGCTATTTTCAGTGCAAGGGGTAACTGCTTGCAATTTGTGGAGGGACAGTGAGAGAAGTCTTGGTGGAAATTGAAACAGGAAATCCCTAGTGTTATCTTTGTGCCTCTGCTCAGTGAATAGCTCTCTCCAGCCTTTTATATTATGTGATTAGAAAGAGTTAAATGAGCATGATTGCCATGGAAATTTCTTAGGCATTAATGTTTTCTACTTCTGAATCAAATGCCCTTGTGATAGAAGAGAAAGAACAAACATCAAAAGTACCTTTTAACTTCACAATTCTTTCTAAATTTCTTTAAACTTATAGGCTATACTGCTGGCTTTCAAACTTCAAAGCATGCAGGAAGATCAGGGTCACAGAGAAAATTATTTCTTACAGTTTAATAAAATATGCATGTGAATCGTATGACCTGCTGGAGAAATTATTTATGTGTTAATGTAATGTTGTAACATTAATTACACACTTTAATTTCTTCCTTAGTAGCTTCTTTACCAGTAAGGACAGTACCAGTACTAAATTGGGCTTGAAACATATGTTGTGTCACCAAAGCTTAAATTATTTCCAGACAGAATATAATTTTTGCTTCCACAAGAAAACAATTCTTTCTTTTAGCATCTGGGAAAAAGGAAACAACTGAGATATTTTGCCTGTTTTCCAGTGTTCCTCTTCCACAGTATCTTTGTGTGATGAAAATTTATTGATAATTCAATGTGTTTATTTTTTTTATTATTATTTTTTTTGTGTGTGAATGAGTCACACAGCTTGTATTTATGGACATTATTATAAAGTATTTAATTCAATAGGATTCATCCTTTTGGGCCTGATTCCTTAGGGGATTTCCTAGCTCTCTTGCTATGATACACATGCAATTAAAATCATGTATGTGCTAGCACAAAAGCATATATTGAGTTTACCTTCTGATTTACTGTTTATGTAAAAATCTTACTGCATACACAAAAGTTCTACATTATTTGTTTTAACAATGCCCTGTAACAACTATATAGTTCAATTCTAAATTTTCTAGAGCCTGTGAAAATACAACAGGTTCTTCTCTCAACTACAGCACAAACTTTATGATCTTTCCATATCACCTACTTCTGAGTCTTATCAAGTGTAAATCTGAGGCCTTACCTCATTAGTGTGATCTGAAATTAGTCAAGGAAAGATGTTATAGATGTGAAAAATACTATTATTCAAAAGTATTTTCTTTTATCTCTTTTTACTGTTTTGCCCCTTAAGATTTCTTTGGTTACATTTTGTTCTTGGCTGATGGTAAATTAGGAGAAAAAAGAAATAGGAGACTTGCCTGTATCATACATTGTTATATACATCTGCCATAATTTTCTTAACTAAATAGTCTTTGTTTAACCTGCTGAAGTGTATACCTGCCTCCTATTTGAAAATTGCTTGACTTCATTTTATTTTATTTTACTTTATTGTGACAATAATATTGGAGGTACATTTTTATCCAGGATTCTTCATTTTATTGTCAGTGCTAATTGGGTTATTACTATGCTTCTTACATTATCACAGAACTACCTGGATCTCAAATAGCTAATATGTTCTCTCTAGCTAATATACCACCTTTCTTGTACTTTTCCCTTACCTCCTCATGGATGAGGGTTTCCAATTGAACTTCCACCTGCATCCAGTATTCACCTAAACTTTCTTTGACTTGATAACATTGTGATGTCCTCTGATGATTTTTGTCATAACTTGGACCTACGTTGACTTCACAAATCAAACAAACATATAACACTGACACACAACCAGTGTCTGGACTGTGCTGAATTCCACACAGTATCCACTGCATTCCAAAGTGTTTGGTATCTATCACTAGACATTTGAAAATCTTCATTATTGCTAGGCTTGTATATAGGCTTTATAGGCTTAGGAATAAGGACCTACTGGTCATCCCAAAGTACAAGGTACCTACCTGCATAAGAAAGTCCTGCATAATATCCCGTTTAGAAAAGGAATTGAGAAAGCATAATATGTTTCTCTAAACAGTGAAAAATATCAGTGCAACAAGTCCAGCTTGTACAAAGTGCACTGGAGTTGTTACAAAAGCTATGGAGGAATCATAAGTAAAGATAAATTAGACACTTCACAGAAAATAGCAATTAACTTGAGCCCTTCCCTGAAGCATAAATGATTCAAATATGAAGCTTTTTTGAGGTTAGGAATGGTGTTTAATTTTACTTTTTTGCACATGTTGGCACTATGTGGAATCTGTGGCAGCAAAAGTGGAATTACCAAAATACCACAGGTATGTTTTGGGCACTGCTGCTCTAAAGGATGTTAGAAAATACTGGAAACCATACAAAGACATTTTTTTTTTCCTGGACATTTCCTACCATTAGCATTCTGGGATGTGTTAGATAAATGTCCAGAAATCTTGGGTGGATATCTGAGTTTTGCATTTTTCACAAAATGCACTGGACTGCCAAATATTTTTGAAATTCACTTGTAAAGCTAAAATGTTTCCGTTCATTATGTGGTACGATCCTGTGATATATTTATTCCTTCACTTATTCATAAACTGTTCATATATATATTCTTAAATTATTTATATTATAGTCTATTTAACAAGAAGGAAAAAGCTACAAATTTTCTTCTGTATGAAACTTTTCTTTGAATCATTCATGTTTAGCATTAGCACAGTGAAGACTTGGGTTTGAAATCTGAGAAAGAAACCAGAGGGATAGGAAATGAATGCTGGGGTAGAAAGAAAATAAGATCATGTAATCATAGAATCACCAAGGTTGGAAAAGACCTCCAAGATCATCCAGTCTAACCATCCACCTATCACCAATATTTCCCACTAAACCATGTCCCTCAGTACAACATCTAAATGTTTCTTGAACACCTCCAGGGATGATGGTGATTCAACCACTTCCTGGTCAGCCCGTTCCACAGCCTGATCACCTGCCTGATGATTATTATTTTTTCAAATTATCAATTTTTCTAACTAAATTATGGCTCATCTAACCATCCCAAGAATCTGCAACACACAGATGACTCAGATCTTCTCCTCTAAGTTTGCTGGCTCCACCATAGCTCCCTTCCCACTGTGCTGATGCCATGCAAAAACTGTGTGTTGATGTGTTCATCAGCTCACACTTACATCATGTTTGTTGTATGGATTTCCCCAGAAGGAAAGAATTCTTCTCTCCTCACAGGTCAGGTGCATCCCATTGTCTTTCTGTGCTGATCTGGCTTTGCTGGAGTTAGTTAAGCTGGAAGAGGACTACTGTCTCCTGTGTCTGGTGCTGGGGTGGGCAAAGTAGAACCTGAGGAACAGTACCACAAGAGAGGTATGCTGCATCCATAGAGCCCTTGAGCATCACCCACACCCAGGCTTAACCTTCATCTCTTTCAAAGTTCCTCCACAAATCATGTTCCCAATTCATGTCCCAGAAACACCTTCAGCAAGCACTCCTCTTGGTATAACATGGGGGACTTTGCACACCAGAGCAGCCTCAGGCCTCCTAGTTAACTCACAGATCATCTAGTCAGGCCCTCAACTTAATGTTTAAAGGCTTCAGGTTCCTTTTCTTTTTTCTTTTCTTTTTTCTATTTTTTTTTAAACACAGTGCCAATGCTCACAAAAGACATACAGTAAGATTGCTCTAACTGTTCAAGTGCACAATGATTGTTCCTGCATGGTCCAGCCCATGTCATGATAAATCCATTCACATTGTTAGGTGCCTGTTACTAACAGTTCTGTGCCAAGATAACCTGAATAGTACTGTACTTTCTGGGTACCTACACTGCTTTTTCACTGGAATTCAAAACTGCTATTCTGCTCCACTAGCCTTCTGATCAAATCAGTCAATCTATTGAGAGGATCTTCTGGCTATACTTACATACAACATATTTTTATTTTATTCCTCATTGTATGTAAGTAATTACTTTTACACTGCATTCTCAGAGGTGAGTGACACTATGCTAGTAGTAGAGATGCTATTCTGCTTCCAACAAATGCTCTGAGAAGCGTATGATATTAGTAAGGTCTGTTTCCTTGGTTACATTTAGCAAATTTGCATACCAGCTTGGTGCTATTCATCATCAGAGACACTGTAGGCTCTTCCATATAGAGAGGGTTTTGGAAGTGAATAACCTTTGCATTCCTAGCTTCAGCTTTCAATAAATGGATGTATGGGAACTGTTGAGTCACGGCCTGAACCACTGATTGATCACCTGAGGCAAGGACTGGGTCAGCCATCGGAGCACAGGTGAAGGCAATTCAGCTGTGTGACCAGAAGGGGTGGAGCCTGGCTGCACCTCTCCTAGACCCCATTTAAGGGCTGACTGCCACTGAGGAAGGGCCTCTTTCTGGAGATCCTTCCTTTTGGAGTTTTCTACTGTGAGCCTAGGACACAGGTGAGCATTTCATTTTTTGATTGTCTCTTTCTACTACAATAATCTTTTTAACTATAAACCTGTAAAATAATGTCTTCACTATGCCACTCTTCTAACTGTACATTTGTTAATTGTACAATGGATGAGGAAAAAATAGTTCTAAATGTATATATAGTAGGAGGTAGGTTGAGAATCTGAGCCCTGGGAGACTTTGGAAATTAAATCAGATCTTTTATAAGGTTATGTGATGGAGCTGTGACTGGGGTTGCAGGAACAGCTTGCAAATTTGACTCTAGTGCCCGTTTATGAATGCTCACAAGATGACCTTGCCCAGGGTTTGTGTCCTATGTTTTATGATTAATCACTGTGATGGTGAATGAAACGGCCCTGCTGTTGAATGTTCACTCAGTATTCCCTGAAACATGAACTCTTCTCTGAAGATGTGCTGAAGCAATGGACCAAGAGGAAGGTAACTGGGTACAGAATCCAGGGGAGACCAGTAGAGCTTACACTGGAAAATAAATCTTCTCCTAACTGGCACAGCCTCTCAGACAGAGATGTAAAGTCATCTCCTGCCTTCTTTAAGGAATGTGTGCAGACTGGAGGGGTTCTGTCTTGTTCTAGCATGCCCAGCTTCTCCATGTCCCCCACACATGGTCCCATAGAAGTAGCGGAGGGCTGCTTTTCTTTTTATCCTTACAAGTCATAGCACCTCTGGAGTATAGGGAGTAAAATAATTCTAAGAACTGGAAGCCATCAGTGTGCGTTTGCCTACATTTCCTGAATTTTGCTGAGTTCTCTGACTCACAGAATATTTGTCTTATTCTTCAGAGTGTCTAGTATGATGCTGTTTTGGTTCAATGTTGGTAACAGTGATGTTTATAGTTTCTGCTAAGCAGTGTTGTACAGAGCCAAGGCCATTCTTGGTGGAGGGCCCAAGGAGCAGGGAGGGTGCAGACCTAGAACAGCTGACTTAAACTGGCCAAAGGGATATTCCATACCATATGGCATGTGCCAGGAGAGTTTTGAAGGAGGTAGGAATACTTCTTGCTCTTTTCTGCTGCTTGGGAGTAAGTTGGGCACTGGCTGGGGTGTGGTGAGCAATTCCTTGTGCATCACATATATATGCATGAATGTATATGGCATATTGTCATAACTGTTACCTTTTTCCTTTTCTCTATTTTAGTAAATAGTTTTATCTCAACTCAAATTCTAGTTTTTTGTTTTTTTATTCTCTCCCTCAACCCACTGGGAAAGGGAGAATGAATGACTGTAGGGGGCTGAGCCACACAATCACAACATGTGCAACTTGCTCAGCACACACATAAAACATAGGTGACTGAAGCCTGTGCCAGCAGTGGTAAAGCTCCTAGCAATATAGAAAGTGTGCATGTATAAGTGCATATCTGTTTTTATGGGAGTGGTAATTATTAAAGCAAAATCTACCTCAGAGCCTTTTAGAATGCAGTTCTTCATAAAGACCTGAACTCAAATTCATGGAACTAATAAAATTTACAATGTTGAGACATTAAGAAGCCAGGTTCTATGGTAAATCTCTAATGGCTTCATTTTTGCTTCAGTTTGCCAGATTATGGCCCAGCGCAATGTGTGGAGGTCTGGTGGGATCCTTGCAGACAAATAACTGCTCTGGGACAAGGCTAGGGCGAGATGCCATTACAAGCTGTCTTGATTTAAACTTTGGATTAAGCAGAAGAAGATGGAGAAAAGTGCCTTGTGTGTGCGCTGGGGAGAAAAATGTTAGACCGTCTTAATTGCATACAGTTCAACTGCAAAGATAAATATCCATTACTAGTTTCTTTTTTTCTGGGTGAGATTCTGAGCACTTAAATCAGGAACACATTTTTCATGTTAAATTCTCAAAATTCAACGCCTCTATTTTTCTCCCAGAAACATGGGTCTTTGTGTTTCCCATTAAAAAATAAGCTGCTTGGATTCCAACACATTTCAGGCAGTACTTTTTCCTTGGTGTCCTTTAACTAACCTGTAACAGCATGCTCATTGTTGTTCCTGTATTTTGTCAGATTTCAGAAGAGCAGTGTCTCAGCTTCTGATGGCGAAAACAAATCCTCTTCCTAATCAGATAGTCTTTATTTGCTTGTTTTGTGATTTGGCTGGGCTGTTCACCTAAAAACCTATTGCATTGTTCTTGACCACATTTCATGAGGTGCTCATGTTTCTGCAATCTTTCAATAAAACCCATGGGAAACAGGTGGTCAAACAGGATGTCCTAAATTAACATAGTATCAGATTTGAGACTATTTAGAGGGAATATGAAGCTAATGCAATAAAAACTATTTGTAAACAATATATGAATAAATGTAATTAAACCAATAAAATTACTTAGGGTTTTTTCATTGAAATAGTGAGATATTTTCTTCATATATATAATCAGTGGGGTCCTAGGGACAGCTGAGGAGTAACCTGAATATTTCCAAATTTAATAGCAGGGAAAGTATTGTAATAAAAACTAGTAACAAAGAAATATCTGTCTAACAATATTGCAGAGCAACCAAATGGTTGGTTCTAAAAACAGAAAGGAAAATACTGTGGTTTTGCTTCAAGATAAATATTTCTGCTTTATGCATGCTATAAAAATGTATCCCCTTCTGGACAAATTAACTAGTTCTAAAAAACTGACTTTTTTTGCACTCCCTAAATCTTTCTGTTTTAATGACCTCTGTGCTGCAATTTTTGCCTCCAAGCAGTAATTAACCACTCTGCAAGTCACCACAAATAAGTCAGAAATGAATTACACTTTGAAAAAAAAAAAAAAAAAAACAAAAAAAAACCAAAACTGTAGCATTAATATAGTTTAAAACAAAGTTATCAAACTTGTGCTTCTACTCTCTCCTGTGATTCAAGGATGAATGTTATGCAATTTTCAATAGCTGTTAGTGTCCTGCATAGCAATTTTGGTTGAATACTGCAAAGCCTGAACAAAAAGAAGTCTGAAATGAGCAGAACTGTCCTTGAGCACACCTTAAAAATAGTTCATGTTTGTTATCCAAGCACAGAGAAACACTTCATGCAACTTTTTTCTAGGGCCTTGCATAAGATGATAGGATAATATGTGAATAAGATGAAGTATCTTCCAGTGCATTTGATCATATTTGATCAACATCTTAGGGGGGAGGAAATATGAGGAATGCTGTCATACAATTTTACCTGAGGTTTTTAGTTAACCAGCAGAAGGTCTACATACGGATCTTGGTTCTTTCACTTAAGCTGGTACCAGTTGGGAATAAATCCATTCAAGCCAACAAAACCTCCCTTAGGCATACAGTGCTCAGAATTCCATCAGTTTACTGCTACAAATCTTTCAATAAGTTAATAGTAAATATCTTTGCTTCTGAGATGTGGCTTGTTTTGTTTAAGGAATACACAGCAATATCTTCACTGTGTTTGCTTTGCATCAGCTTGTACAGCATCTGCTTTTGTCAGTAGCATTTCTTTGACACCATATGTGCCAAATGTAGTGGATTTTACATGACCAAAATTGCTGTATTAGAATAAAGAGCAGAACTTTGCTTTTTTTTCTTCTAACCAACTCACACTGAAATGGGACACTGTTTAAATCTGCTCATTTTGTTAGGGTAAGATTCACTTGATATTAATGCTGATGTGCAGCTGTTCCCTCCTTACACCAAGAAAAAATAAATTTTTGAATTGGAATTTTGAAGGGGTGCAATTAAAAGCATTTTATATACTTGTAATACATATTTTTAGGAGTCTGCAAATAAAGACCATCTTTGAATTTTTTTTTTTATTCCCAAATTCATTAAGTCAGTAGGAAATAATTTCATAAAAGTAAACTTTTTTATCTGTTGAAAGTTAAGAATGTAATTCATTCTGGTAAGAGAGCGCAATCTGAGATACAGCAGTTGACACTTTGAATTTAAAGATCATAGAAATGAATAAAAAAATCTCTTTTATGGGCATTGTAACTTAACATTAGTCAACTTTTTAAATTACATGATGTTTGTGTAGGCCGGATATATTCTTGGGTGAAGTCTTGCAGAAATTCCCACTTGCTATTTACCTTCATGTTTGGATTAACTATATACAGCATATCAAAATTAGCTAGATTTATATCAAAATAGCTGAAGGTAGATTTCTGACTGCTTAGTCAATCAATTTTGAAATGGAGCACTGAGAATCACTGAATTATGATATTCAACCTGAACAATCCAATGTCAGCACTGCATTCTGCATGTGTGCATATGTACCATCCTGTTTGTTTCCTAGGTGCCCCTAGTGTAGGTTACTTCCACATTGAACAGTTCATCTCTATGCATATCAGAAATCTGCTGAAGAAAAAAAAAATTGAGTTATTACAAAAGGTTTTCTTGCCTGAAGGTCATAAACTCAGTGTCAGTGGGAAGTGACTGAAAAGGCAGTGTGAAACCTTAGGCATTTTCCAAGATCATTGCATCAAAATACCAATCCTACACTACTCATTTTTTTTTTTTTTAGTGTGGTTCATATTTTCAGTTGTTCTTTGATGGGGGGGGAAAAAAAAATAATAATGCAGATCTCAGGTATTATGCTTGAGGCTGCAAAGGAGTAAGGGGATTATATTGGCTATTCTGTGTCACAGAAAAACTGCAATGCTTGAAATGAAACAGGTGGGAGATAAAGAAGAGGATTGCAATGTGAAGGTGGAATGCTTTCTTTTTTTGTCCCCCTTCACACAACCTTCCCTGCTCTCCTCATTACTCCTTTCTTCCCTCCTTTTTTTTTTTTTTTTTTTGTTGTGCTTACTACTTCCAGGATCCCCTTTCCCACCTGGGGGTTGGACTCGATGATCTCTGGGGGTCCCTTCCAACCCCTACAATTCTGTGATTCCGTGATTCTGTTTCCCTCTCTTTTCTGGATTTCTGTCTCTTTGCCCTAGGTCTGGCAGAGGACTTTGTGGAGTGGCACTGCCATGAGCAGCCTGGGGATCTGTTCTGTGTGTCATCCTCCTTTCTAGCAAGGCTGGCAGTGGGGGATGGTGTGGTACCAGGAGTGTCAGGAGGTGCAAACAAACAGTGTGCAACCATTGCCAGAGCTGAGCTAGCAGTTTCTTTCAGATACAGTCAGAACCCACAGTCTGAGAGATGGGTCTCAAGCAGCTTGTGAACACTGTTTTGTCTGATGCAGAGGCTGGAACAGGAGTCCCTGTGGTACATCCATTCATCTGCCAGGGAGTGAAGCAAGTCTGTATTTCACCTAGTGCAACTCTACTTGATTTGAGTCTTCTCATGGTGGATTTTTGGGATCATACACATTTTTATTGATTTAGTGTGATGACCCCAGCAGTTAACTACATAAGACATGAAAATAAAACAGTTTATTTCCAACAGAGCATTACTTCTATGCGCAGTAAAGGGTTCACACAACTCATGTGGCTCACCAGTCTGGCTTGTTCCCACATACTGGAATGATTCTCTCTTCCTACTTGCTCCCATTTCTGGTTACAGTAAGTAGCCTCCTCTCCTTTCTGGGTGCTTGTGTGCATATGTTGAAAAATACATGTTCCCAGTTCCATTCTATATCCAAGTATTTGAGTTTTCCCTTTGTTCTTGGACTCTGCCTGGGAAAGGTAAATCTTACTTACTGGTTTTCCATTAGGCAGATGTGGTCCCAGTTACTGGCTGCTCATGTTGTTGCCTCCAAAGTTTCCTTTATAACCTTATCTTTGCCTCTGTTCTCATTTCCTGCTTCTTCTCCGCTAGGAGTTGCCTTTGATTTAGTAGGTGAACTCTGGGGCAAATCGTGTTTTAAAAAAACATGTATGGGTGCCTTATTCCCCAGTGAAGCCTTGGAAAGACTGTATATGAGCCTCCCTGAACTATTCAGAAGGGTTGAGACTAATTCCAGCTCCTCCCTGGTGAGCTTGGCTGCTCTCCTGCCTGCAGCTGTCTTCCAGCTCTGAAAGTCAAGGACAACCTGGAGAAAAACAAACAAAGGGAATGCTTTGTTGGCTTGTAGTTTAAAAATAATTGCTTTGCTTAGACCTTGTAACAACCTCCATCATTAACTTTTGGGAGGGGGTTGTTTCCTTAAATCCAAACACGTGCCCATATGCTCTCTGGGAAATTTGTGACTTAACCCAGTGAGATGGCATGACCTTCTGCCAGGATGAATAATTTTTGAGCTGAAATTCCAGTGGCACTTAGTAAGCTGTGCAGGGAGGTCGTATACATAGCATTACTCATGATGATAACAACATCCTAAACCTTATCATTACGTTTTCACATTCATAAATATTTCAGCAATAATCTGTAACATTTTGCACTTGATTTTTTTCACATTCGTGGATTCAAAGATTGCTAGCAACACATCAGTGAAGAAAAGGTCAGCAAAGCTGTCGTTTTCCCTCTGATATGTGTTCCTTGATTTTTGTTTTCATGTATCCCTAGAAATTTGTTATTTTGGCTTGTGTGTTATTGGCACTTTGAGATGGGACTGAACTGGGCTCCCTCAGACCCAAGGTCTAGTACATAACCATTAGAAATTGTGTAAAAATAAATAAATAAATAATAATAATCTTAACAGCTGCTTTTCTATTCTGCAGCATAATTATTACCTGGTCACCTTAAAGCATGACCACTGAGACTGCAGCTAAAAAAAATTGCAGAAAGGAGCTTTACACTCTCTGCTGTTGAGAATAGAAAGCAAGAGCATGCAAGTATACAATGAGATAATGCTATCCTACCTGAGGTCATCTAGTCACCTTTCTGTACTAGCTTTACTTTTGATATGTCAACCAAGAAGTTTAAGCTTTTCCACTTTCTTCCACTAAGAAAGTTTCTTGCTTTAAAAATAAACAAACAAAAAAAACCAACTGACCAAACAAACAAACAAACTAAATTAATGAACAGGGAAGATTTCCTCTCAGTTGTAGTCATCTTCCTTTGTGTCCTTTGCAGAAAATGCTCATGGGTGTTAATGGGCTGTGAATTTAATATTTGCATGGCCCCAAGTTGAGCTCACTCTGACAATACATCAAACACAGTGTAGCTCCAAAGATCTCACAGTTCAACAGGTAAGGAAAAAACAAATGGAAGAGATATAAGTGAGCCAGGATAAGAATACAACAAGGAGCTACAGTAGCATCACTGCCTTGCTGTTCTCCTTGTTACTTACCCGTAACTAGATTTTACTTCATTACTTACAGTATTGTAGTGATGGCTTTTTGAGTCAAGAATAATATCTTGGCTTCACAGTTTTTTTCCTGGAAGATGTGCTCATTTGTACCATATGTCAGGGGCCTGCTGTGGAGATCAAGAGTAACTTTACTCTGAATCCTAAAATTAATAACTAAGTGAAAGCTTAACTGCAGAAAAAGAAACAACAACAACAAAAAAACCCAAACTCAATAATATAATGTGTCTGATGCATCTAATCATAACTAGTCAGGAGAGTTCAGCTACAAGTTTTTTGCCTCATGCAGTGGGTTGCT